GTTTGTCAATTTTTCCTTCATTTTCTGGTGTCACTTTCATGTTGTTAGGGTGTGAATGTCCATTTTCACTTTGTGACCCATTTGTAACTTCTCCCACATCTGGCATTTTATCTAAAGTGAATAATGAGCCAAGTATTGTCCTGTTTTGTAGTGTGACATCATTGTCTGTGTTGTTTTCAACTACAATTGAAATTGTAGCTCCATCATCATGTTTTGTGTTGTGTATTTCCTTGACTGATGAAACCTTCCGGATGTAAGGATGGTACCATTTACTGGCTCTGTTTGTGTCTGTGTTTCCCTTGTGTGTTCTTGTCAGTTTAATTGGTGCCACCTTTGTCTTGTCACACCTGTTGTAATCACGTCTTGTCTTGTCCTTGTATATAAGCCTCCTGTTCTGTGTTGTTCCTTTGTCGGGTCGTATTCGTTGGGTCTCTGCGTTCTCCTGTGTTCTCCTGCGTTCTCCTGCGTTCTCCTGCGTCTCCCCTGAGCTCCCTGAGTTTCCCTCTGAGTCTTCCATCTATTTGTAAGTTTTGCTGCCACGTTAGCTATTATTTTGTTCTTTATTTACTATTAAAAAATACTTATTTTTGTCATCTGCCGAGTTGAGTCCTGTCTGCACAATTGGGTTCGTTCCTGTCCACAAAATCCTGACACCGGATGGAAGGTGAAACGTTACAGCAAAAAAAGAAACTGTCTGACCTGACTGAAAATTGTTGGGTTTTCAATAAATAGTTTTATTTATATATTATTTATCGAGTCAGAGTCCTGCCTGCGTTGGGTCTTACCTGCGTCACTGGGTTCAACTAAACATAGATCATGACAGGATCCTAAGACCAACTATGAACCCAGCAGGTTGCCCGTTTCTTGTGGGTCTTGATTCAGAGGATCATCAGCAGCTCTGCAAAATAATGCGGAGATACGTGGATATTATGGTTTCCTCCAAGGATCTGGAATTAAGGTGGACAGCCACAGAAGACATGCTGGGGGAGTTTTTTCGCCTTCCTGGTTTATGTGATTCCCCAGGGGTGTCTGAGATTCTGTCAGAGATTTTTGAAGAGAGGCGCATGCTGCGCATTCTTCTCCATCAGCTTCCTGCTCCGACACCCAGCGAAAATGACACTTCACCCGAGACACACAAGGAATCAGCAGCTCCTCATGTCTTGCCCCTCCACGTCTCTGCTCGTCACCGTTGAAAGGGGTATCATTGTTGAACCCAAGGCTGGTCGACTGATCCTCCTACTGTGCCACCCACGCCTTCCTGCGTCTCAATGAGTGGATGCCTTTGAGCAGGTCCTGGAGGACGCCTCTCATTTATCCTCTGAGAGGGTCCAGAAGGAGGTCCCTCAAAGTTCTTCCTGTGTTCCAGTGAAGGTCCCAGACGACACTTCTCATTGCTGTGTCTCACCACCAGAGTCTGCTGATGTTTTTCAATTGGATTAAAGTGACTCCTCTGATAATTCTCACTCCAATCTCACTTCCCTGAACCTACAACTTTAGAAACTGTACACATCCTCTACTCTCCACCTAGACAGTAAATATAGATTCACTACTTTCTCCATCATGGAGAAATTATTAATATCCAAACCTGGACTCATTAAACTACCAGAATATTATGCAATACTCTTAAAAGTAAGGACTCTTAAAGAACTCTATAAAGAACCACCGTAGCACCTACCAGATCCACTGGCTCCCAGTGTTCTCGACCATGTCTCTCACAGATCCTCCATGTCTGCTACAAGTCTCAGGATTGCTAATGAACTCCTCCAACCTGCTAAAAGCGCAAAGCCTCTAGAGTTCCCTGCTTCTCCTCTGGTTCCTGCGCCAACCGCCGTCGCTCCTGTGGTTCCTACGTCGACCGCCGCCACTCCTGTGGTTTCTGCGTCGACTGCCGCTGGTCCTGTGGTTTCTGCGCCGACTGCCACCTGCTCCTGTGGTTCCTGTTCCTGTCACTGAAGACCCTGCCATCGAAGATCCAGCCACAGAAGATATCTCCCCAGATGGTCCAGCCGCAGAAGACCCTACTGAGCTCCTCGTTGCTGACCCTTCCACTGAGGTCCTCGCTGCTGGTCCATCTGCTGAGGTCCTCACTCCTGGTCCATCTGCTGAGGCCCTCGCTCCTGGTCTGTCGACTGAGGTCCTCGTCCCTGGCCCGCCTGAGGTCTTCGACCCTGGCCCGCCTGAGGTTTTTGTCCCTGGCCCACCTGAGGTCTTCATCCCTGGCTCGCCTGAGGTCTTCATCCCTGGTCCGCCTGAGGTCTTCGCTTCTGACCCAACCTCAGAAGATCCTGGCCCACTGGAGGTTCTCAATCCTGGCTTGCCTGATGAAGTCCTCGCTCCTGCTCCACCTGCCGAGGTCCTCGCTCCTGGGTCCACGTCTCGCCTCGGCTTCACACCTCACCTCGGCTCCATGACCTGTCCAGGTTCCACGACCCATCCAGACTCCATGTCCCATCCAGGCCACTCGCCTGGTCAGCTTCGACATGATGGATGGCTCTCCAGCCATCTGCCTGGTCTGCTCCAGTGTTATGGACAATCCTCTGGCCAGCCGCCTGATCTCTTCCTACCTGATGGATGGCCTCGCGGCCGCCCGCCTGATCTGTTTCTGCCCGTTGAGGTCTCCACAGCTGCCGAAGACTCTGCCGCTTTAACAGCAGAGGTCTCGACGCCCACCTCATCGAGAGAAGTCTTGACGCCCGCCTCAGCAACAGTGTATGCAGCCCCCAAGGTGGATCCTGCACTGCATGCTGCCCCCGAGGTGGATCCCGCGCCGCATGCAGCCCCCGAGGTGGATCCTGCACCGAATGCAGCCCCCGAGGCCGATCCCATGCCGCATGCAGTCCCCGAGGCCTACGTAGCAACTGCAGCCACAGATGTCTCCTTAGCAACTGCAGTCACAGAGATCACCATGAAGGCTGCAGAACCCAAGCCCGACTCCCCGACCGCTAAATCCAGGTCCGACTCCCCAGCTGCAGAACCCTGGTCTGGCCCCAAAGCTTCCGACATCTCATCCGTTCCCGCAGCTGCCAGCACCACCATCTCTGACCCAGCAACTGCCAGCACCCCCATCTCTGGTCCAGCAGCTGCCAGCACCACCATCATTGGCCCCATTCCATCCTTCCCCAAACTCTGGTCCCGCTCTGGATGCCCTCACGGTTGCCCTCACGGTCGCCCTCCTGAACTCCTATCATGCATTGGTAGGCCTCCTGGCCGCCCACCGGAACTGCTACCCTATGCTGGACGGCCTCCTGGCTGCCCATCCAATCTACCCCAGCGAATTGGATGGCCTCCTAGCCGCCCACCTGAACTTTTTGTGTTTCCTTGTGTTAGTTCTTGTGTATTGTTCCCAGGCCACACCCTGTCGAGTTTTTTTTTTGTTTTCTTTCCCTCATGTCCCATCTCGTGCCCTCCATCCTCTCGTTTCTCCCTCCTCCCACCCTTGCTGTTAGGGGGAAGTCTTGGGACGTCAAGGGACACCCTTGGGGAGGGGGTACTGTGAGGATTGTTTTCTTGGTGTGTGCTGCCCTCGTGTGGTCTTTCTATTTCTCCCCATCTCCTGCCTCTCTCACAGTTTTCCTCCACTATCAACTAATGCCGTCCACCTGTCACTTCGCCCAGCTGTTTCTTGTTTACCACTCATTAGAGTGCCTATATAGCCTGCGTCTTGTCTTTGTTTCCCTGTCCGAGGATTATCCTTCCATGGTATGTGATCTGTCCCTGTTCCTGTTCAGCCTGAGTTCCTCTGTTGTGTTTTTTGCTGCCACGTCAGCTTTTGCTTTTCTTTTCAATAAATAGTTTTATTTATATATTATCTATCGAGTCAGAGTCCTGCCTGCGTTGGGTCTTACCTGCATCACTGGGTTCAACTAAACACAGATCGTGACAGGCAGATCACTTTGACTTGGTCATTTTAAAAGTAGCTCCATAATGAAAAAGTCTGAACATCCCTATTCTACACCATCTCAGGGGCAAAGATGGCGTAGAGGTAGGGGAGCCAATTTGAAACCAGAAAGTCACAGGTTCAACTCCCCGCCATGCCCACATGCCGTGGTGTCGAGCATGACATCCAATCCTTAATTGCTCCCCGGGAGCTTACATAGCTGCCCACTACTCCACCTGGGTGTATCTCATATGTGATGGGTTAAATGCAGAAAACTAATTTCATCATTATATGGGAACATACAATGATGACAACACATAGCACTTTAAGATTAACTGAAACAACATCCTGGTGTTTTCTGAACCTAGACACCAAAAATTGCCAGACCAAATATCAATTGTAACACATCAAATGAGAGGGAGCAACCGTTAACCAGGGGTTCCCCACAGTAGTTGTGCAGGTCACGGCTACTTGATCTGACAATCCGAGGGGTAAGATAAGGGTGTGTCCTGTGGTTGAAGGTTGTTAGTCTGGAAGAGTCTTTTTCGAACCCAGCCTGAGCAGGCCTGACCACAGTCCTGTCTGGGTAAAGCTCAGGAGGTCGTTGTGGCCCAATTTCCCCATCTAGACAGAGGGCGTGAGAGTTATACACCTGGGATGGAAACAATATGCAACTGTGTGTGTTTACACAGAACCCCATTATTCAGTTCATGTAGTTTTGAGAAAAATAGAACAGTAATTTACATTTTTTCTACCGACTACAGTGAGGGTTGGGTCAGCTCCAACAAATCAAATGTGGCCACTATACTTTCATTCATCAGTGGTTCATGAGATATGCTAGACACACACACTTCTTTCAGTTTTTCCCTCTTCAGGGGTCACCACAGCCAGTCATCCTCCTCCATCTCACTCTGTCCTCTACATCCTCTGTCCTCACTCCAACTACCCCCATGTCCTCTGTAACTGCATCCATATATCTCCTCTTTGTCTCGTTCCTGGCAGCCACATTTCCTGGTAGTAGCGTTACATACACACACACGCAAAAAAAAAAAAAATCTAAACATGAAAAAGCAAACTCGACCTTAAACAGCTCTCTCTCAAAGATGAACTATGATTTCTGTACCTGAGTGGAAGAGAAACCTCCATAATGGTTCTGCTGAGTCGTCAGCCACCTAACAATGCTGGAGGCGTAGCCCAGGTCTTCAGCAGAGTGGGAGGGAGGGAGTTTGGCCATCAGCACATACGAGCTAATCTCCACAGACAGAGAGACTGATGCTTCTGATGCTGTCTGAGACCAGTGGGTCGAACCCCCTAAAAACAGCCGTTCACAAACAGTTTTAGTTGCTGTAATGAACTCTGAATCAGTCCCATCAGAAAGAATACTCACCTTGTTTCACTGCAATTGAGTCAAGATGCTGCAGAAGGTGAGCACAAGTCTCCATGTCCCCTGCCAGTGAGAAGACGTACGCCAGCAGAGCTGTAGTGTAGGTGTTGCTGAAGTCATTGATGGACTCTTTGAGCCACGACAGACTCTTGTGCATTACAGGATCCTTGAACAGAGTAAACGATAATTAAAATGTTTTCATTTATTTATTATCACAGCTGATTGTTTAAACATGACTACAATCTTCATTTTCTAAAACAATGGCATAATGGCCAAGTGTCTATAGATTGCTGTGTCAGTGTCAGATTTAACGTTAAAGTGCGTAGGGGAGGGGTGGTTGGATTTCTGGATTTCAGTGACTTGAATAAAAAGGTCAAGAATTTTAATGGGTGGTTAGAATTATTCAAAATGAAGAAGCATTGTTGTGCTTCCTGAATTTTGTAAAACTAGAAACTTTCTGACGAAATGTGAGAGGGTGCCGTACTGCCCAAAACTTCAATATCACTTGTGAAATTATATGGTAAATGGTAAAAGGACTGTACTTATATAGCGCCTTTCTATCTTATTTCAAGATACTCAAAGTGCTTTACACTACAATCTGTGTCCTCATTTACCCATTCATACAGCACTCTACTAGATTTCTACAAAGCTAATTGAACAAATCATTCTAAAGAGACTAATCAGTGCTTTAGATCACATTCATACACTGATGGGACACACATCAGAGGCTATGAGGGGTTCATTGTTTTGCCCAGGGACACTTCGACATGTGACTGCTGGTGGATTCGAACCCCCAACTCTTGCATTGGAGGACGACTGCTCTAACCACTCAGCCACAGCCGCCCTATTCCCTAATCCCTAATTATCTTAATACAAAACAAATATCCCCTCCCTGGGCTGCCACCTTACCGTGGTGGAGGGGTTTGAGTGTCCCAATGATCCTAGGAGCTATGCTGTCAGGGGCTTTTATGCCCCTAGTAGGGTCACCCATGGCAGACAGGTCCTAGGTGAGGGACCAGACAAAGTGCAGCCCAAAGACTCCAATGATGAGAAACACAAATGGACCTAGTGTTCCCTTGCCCGGACGTGGGTCACCGGGGCCCCACTCTGGAGCCAGGCCTGGAGGTGGGGCACGCGGGCGAGTGCCTGGTGGCCGGGCTTTTACCCATGGAGCTCGGCCGGGCACAGCCCGAAGAGGAGACGTGGGTCCCCCTTCCCATGGGCTCACCACCTGTGGGAGGGGCCAAAGGGGTCGGGTACAATGTGGGATGGGTGGTGGCCGAGGGCGGGGACCCTGG